AACAAGCTCTTTGGTTAAAACGCACTGCGCAATTCTGCTGTTTGGATAAAGAAGCCGCATCTTCGACGTACCCGGGCTTATTCCACAGGGCAGTGCACAGAGCCATACCATAGATTCCATGTTACTGTAGTCAGGTGAATAAAACAAATAAGAATCATTCTGATTGGTCGTTCTAGGTTACCTATGTGCACATAGCTATATATAAACTAAGGCTCAATTCCCACATGAGCGACCCATGAACGCGCACCAGCATAAAGTCCATGAACCCATCACACTCAGAAACCGCCGTTTCCAAATAAATAATGGTGGGTGCTGCGGTAGGCGACGGCTGGCAACCGTAGTAGAATATGAAGGGACACCAGCACTCCAATAGTGAATCAAGTACGTCTGTTTATTGACGTATGAGTGGCATAGTGTGATGCACTTAATGCGACGTTTCGGGGTCACACAGGATCCTCTTCATCAGGCAGAACAACACCAATTCTGCCTGATGAAGGGGATCCACTGTGCCCCCCTAAAAAGCTACTCATACGTCAATAAACAGACGTATTTGACTATTGGAGTGCCGGTGTCTCTTCATATTCTACATGAACGCGCACCAAACGTGTGCTTTGCTGAAAACACAGCAAAACGCGAAAATGCGCTAGCGTTGCCATTGACATCTAATGGCAACCCATCTGTGTTTGTGCAAAAGCAGAATTAAAAATGCAGACCGACAAATCTGCTACATGAGCATTCCTGCCGCGTTTGTCTTGCGTTAAGGACCCCACTGAACTCAATGGGGACAAGCAGCACATGAATGCGCATGCAGATAAGGGAAGGTGGCGCGTTCCTGGAACGCCGTGGTGTGAATGCGGCCTTTAAGATAATATTTTTTAAAGATGAACACCACCCAAAACAGAACATTTCGTATGGTTCAAACAAGTTGAAGCACGTGTTGCCCGGTTTCAGTGGTGCGGTGTCTTCGCTAGAATGCAGTCATACACAACTGCTGTGGCCATTATAAAACCAAACGTTGGTGATGTACTCCCTTGATGGAGTCTCCATAATCTAGGTTTGTTGGCAGGCACTGAGAGTAACACCTCATATACAGTCATATCATATACAGTGGTACCTCGATTCACAAACGCTTCTGTTCCTGAACAACTCGGTTCGCGAACAGAAAGTTCTGCAAAATGTTGCTTCCGTTCGCGAACTCCGCATTGTGCGATGAACACAAACTCAGCCATCTTCCCCGCTCTGACACGTGGTCATGGCTTCCTCTAGTTGAGATTGCGGTCTGGTCACAATTTGCTTTGGTTCGCGACCAGAATCGTGGAACGAATTCAGTTCATGAACCGAGGTACCGCTGTATAGATCACCTCTCATACAGGTCTTATAGGCGAGTCTGGAGACACAAACAGCTTACCGCTGAACTCCAGCTTTTAAAATGTATACTTCCATTGGTCCAGCTTGGCATATATAAATGATCCCTGTCACAGCACTGGCCCTTGTCCAATCAGAGAGCACCTAGTATTCATTGAGAAAAAAATAATAGGCGTCCTCTAAATGGCGAGCAACCGACGGTGTTTAAACAGCACAGAGAAGCTGCTCAGCACGGGGACTGTTCCTGGAAGAAGCAGTAATACACTGTAGCAGCTGCGGCTACTACAATGTATGACACAATCCCCGTGGACCAACTAAGTATATATATCTATGTTTTTAAACCTTCAAAGGAAAATCACACAAGCGGAAAGACACGAGACCAACGTGTGTTTCAAGTCAACACCAATCTTAAATTGTGTAGGTCAAACTTGAAACAATATATACCTGCAGGCAAATAACGTTATTGGTGCACATGGGGGGAAGCATTCAAACCCCCACCAAAAAAAAAAAGAGTTTGTTTGTCATCAGTACTGCCAATAATATTAATATAATACTTGTTCTGTGTGTGTGCAAAGATAAGGACGATAAAAACCCCTCTAAATTACATATTGTCCCTTCTCCCTCTCATATCAAGTTAACAAGCAGAACTATAATTATCTACAGTTTGTAAAAATGATCTATTATCCTTATTGCGGATTCAGACTTGTGATACATTGATAGTTACACAGGTGAAGGCTGTTTGGCTGTCAGGTGGCGCTTCTTTTAGGCTTTACCGAGACATAAAATCAAATTATATTCGAATTAGTCCAACAACAAAAAAAAAATCCTTTGCTGGATCGATATTGCGGAACGAAAAGTTTTGTACATCAAACCCTCGTCGCAACGCGGCTCCAGACAAAGAGCGCCTGGAAGGGAGCCTCAGCCCATCCACGTCCGTTTCCCTTTGGCTGTGCAAAACGGATTCTCAGACTTAAAATAAGCGTAATAAGGCACTAGCGCTATAATAGATTACACGTCGACGTTCCCCTATACAAACAGTAAAAAATACAAAACAGAATCTGCCGCAAACGAGTCCTACGGATTAGCAGATACGTTACCCATAAATAAGGATATAAGGATCTATATTACAGGAGGCAGAGGAAAGGACTTGGCTTCTAAGACTCTATGCATACCTACAAGAATAGGAACTGACCTGTAGTGTCACTTACTGGACAAAAAAAAAGACATCTGGCGGGATTTTAAGTGTACCTGTCATCACACAGCGGAAGCAGCCATTTTACCCCAATCAGCCACAATTTAAAAGGCACCTAGTGACCTCAATTAGACTTGAGACAGCAAAGTTATAATTTCTAGTGAACTTTTATCCTGAGTGTCAATTCAGCTCATAGTATTGCTGCTGCTGCGTGCAGGTGATGTTCGTATGTGAATGTTCTCTTCAATGAAAATAATCTTAACTCAAAGTTAAAGGGATATCAAAGCCTCCATTTTAAAAAAATATTTCCTACAAGGAGACCCACCTTTCATTGAGGCTGTTGCCGTTTCTCTTTAAAAGTTTGTAATTCCTCGTTTTCTAGTGGGTTCCCGCAGCAATCTTCCCCTCGCCCCATGCACGGGTGCCTCCGTCGGCTAATAGAGGCACCCGTGCCTGCAGTGGCTGTGTGCGTCCATAGACACACACACAGCCCTGTGGCAGACCACGCCCCCTCCTCTCCGGCCAACAATTTGATGGCAGAAGGAGCCTATGGCTGTTTTGCCATCAGTATCCTTCCCCCGCAACCAGGAATTACAGGGAAAGGAGGATCGCTTCGGGACCGCTGGCAGGGACTAACGTAGCTGACAGGTAAGTGTGTGTGTGTGTGGGGGGGACTGGGGAGAAAAAAAAAAGGTACTGGGTCGTCTTTACCCTAATGCAGAGAATGCAAAAAGGTAAAAAATGCCCAGACCTTAATACTACTTGCCTCACCTCACACACTGTCTTCCATCCTGAGTGTGCATAACAGCGTGAGAGGTCAGCCAGCTGATCATCAGCAACTGCCGGACTTCTGAAACTTTAAGTTGTCACGGCCGAAGTAAGTGAAGCTAAATATGGAGGACATATGGAGGGATATATACATATGGCGGGACAGTCATATTTCCTTGTTACATATGCTCTGCTTCCTGATAGGCAATGCAGCAAAGTGAATAGCTGTTCCCCCGTTTCAGTCACCACAGACTGACCGGCAACAAGAAACTATGTGGCTTCTCCTGTTATTTCATCAGCTGCCCATCAGGGGTGTCCTTTACAGCAAGCTGACATACAGACTGTCCAATAGATGGAGAACCTAAATATCTGCATAGCAAATATAATCAATATAAGGATCAGGAAGTAACAATATGATTGTTACGTCACAAATTACTTTTAGGTAAAGATTACAATGAGATTGTAGTTGATGGAAATACAAATTAGTTTTCCTTTAAGGATGGGAAGCAGCGAAAGGCTACAGATTATACCTCTGTGAATGGATAGACATTGTAACAGCAAGAGGAAGGTCAGACAGAACCTCCAACCCAACTTCAACTTTGTTTCTTTTTTTCATGTTAAATGATTTTCCCTCCCTCATTGTATCCCTGTCCTCCTCCTTCAGCAGCAGCTGCATCACTTCCTGGCTGAATGACACCCAACCTCAACCAGGAAGGAGGAGAACAGTCATAGCCCCATCCATGGTTAGCAGGACCGGTGGCATTTCTAAGCAGCTGCAGTTTAGCTATTTAGTTGACCTTGGGCATCATTTGCTGTAAAGTGAGGTGAACGGCACCCGTCTTCACGTGACTATCCAATCACGTGTCACTGTTTTTCCAAATTACCCCACACATGATTGGATGTGAACATACATGCACAACTGCACACCTAAGTGCTAAAAGGGGGTTGCTAGGCAGCTACTAATGAGCATTTTGCTCGAAGGCCTGCTTTATATACCACTAGGGGTATGCAAGGAAGCTGAAAGTATATCTAAACCAAGAACAAGCATTTGATATATTGCAGCTTGCCAATCCTAATATATGGTGAGTGCATTTGTTTTCTCCACTAACACACTTCCTGTCCTAGGGTGACAACACTCACTGGCCTTACTGTATCTGTGGAGGAGCACTGTTGTCACCCTAGGCTGCTCTCCTGATTTAGAATACCATCACCTCTCCTTCTCTTTAACAGGTAGGGGGGGGTGTTCTGCAGTTCACAGCCGATCTGGTAAAAGTTGATATCATTGTTTGAAAATTGACAAGCACATTGGATTTCTTTTAGAATCAGCAGTCATATTTCTGTACTTGCAGAAAGTGTACCTAACCTGACAAAAAAAGAAAACGAATGCAGCCAACACATCTAAGCTGTAATATAGAACATGTTTGTTTCGGGTTTAGATATACTTGAATTTTCCTTTATGTTGATTGTGTAGCGGGTATAAAACAAACTGGGCGTATAAATGTTTTCGGAGTCTGAAGCTAAGCGTGACATAAATGAAAATTAAAGAAATAGCTTATAAGGTCAAAGCTTGGTGCTGGAGCGACCGGGAGAGAATTTATGCCAAGTATGATCTACTTGGTGAAGTAAGTGGCACTCCGGTGAGCCGAACGGAGAAAAAAACAACAACATAAACACAAAAAAAAGGAAAAGCCAGCCGGGCTACGGCCAAAAGGTAACAGAAAATATGAGAAGGCACCCCTTAATTTTCTCTATAAGAACATAGTAATGCTTTGCTTCTCCCACCCCCTTCCACGTGTCATAAGAGGGCTGCATGTCACAGCTTTTTGTTAAGCAATCAATTAAAAACCAACACCACACGGTGGTGAAAAGTGCAGCTGTTTCCAGCATCACAAAAAAAAAAAAAAAAGGTTAAAAACAGTCCTACCAAATAATACAGATACCATCAATAAAATACAGGTCGGGGCGCTATCAGCTTGTAGAGTCCAAAAAGAAGGCGTTTGTGATGGAATTTAAATTCCTATGTCGTATTTCTTAAACACTGGTCTGTGACGACTTTAGTAGCTGTTCTCGTGGCCGGCCAAGATGTACAGGTTGCTGTGAGCTGTCGGGTTGGATGTAGGTCTGCTTTCCAAAACCACCACCCTGTGAGAGAGGAGAAGGGGAGAGCATCAGTGCCGAAACTTTCCGCTACGGTCTACACCTGCCATTCATACTGCTAAAAACTGCTCCAGGTATACATAGTGATCACATGACCAGCATTCCGGTCCCTGATTGTTGATAAGAAATGCAGCCGGGTTTGACAGCTGACGAGACGAGCAGTGACGAGGGAGCATGGAGCCGGCTTCCCAGCCAAGTCTGGAAGCCGGGCAGCGTGTTATGAGGCGCTGCCTGGCTTGCTGATACCGGAAGCATCGGAGCATTTGGGCGAGTATGAGTACCTGCCCAAATACTCGGCATCGGCACCGATACCAATACTAGTATCGGTGCATCCGTAATTTCATATATTGAATTTTTAGGATAACGTTCACTAGCACAATACAATGCACTTGTGTAATGTACAGTCAGTTCTTCTAATATTTGGTTCTGGAATATTACCTGTCCGATCCCAGTAGGCGGAAGACTCTCGATTCATCTGAAATCTCTTGCGTAACCTAAAATAAAGCAAAGACCTAATTGTTATCTTCTGCAGGTTATAAAAATAACTAGGTCACCTCCCTGCCCCCAACCTGTGAATGGACGGTGAAAGGAGGACCAGCAGATTGATGAGGTCATCTCTCTCCTCTCACCATTATTCTTGTTCGCACATGAGCACTGCAATAAAACTCATTGAGGGGAATTGATCAAAACTAAAGCAGACAAAATCTGGAGCAGCTGTGCACTGCAGCCAATCAGCTTCTCTTTCTTATTTTCAAATCGTACCTGGGCAAACTGAAGAGAGAAGCTGATTGGTTGCCATGGGCAACTGCTCCAGATTCTGTTGTGCTCCAGTTTTGATAAATTCCCTTCACCCCCAAAGCAGACCATCCTCCCCCTGCAAATCGCTATACTTACCTAGATCTTGCTTCAAACCCCTCAGCAATGTTTATGACTCGTCTACCAGCTCTACAGAAGTCTACGGGGCTTATCTGAGCATGCTCGGACTTCGGGTCCAAAAGCCAGCAGAGGAATGTAAACAATGCCGTAGGCCTCAGAGCGAGATCGAGGTAAGTATAGCGAATGAGGAAGGGTCGGGTTGGATAAGGAACCTTCCACAAAAAAATGGAACACAAAAATGGAGCACACGTCCACTTTAAAGCAGAACTCTACACCAGAACTGTTACAATGTAAGTGTGGTTTGCATTTCTGCAGTCATGTGAGGTTTGATTAAGTAAAGCAATAATCTGAAAAATAAAAAATAGGGATGCACCGATACTAGAATTTCGGTATCGAGTGCCGATATTTTTTCGGTTTGGCTCCCCGACCAATCAGGAAGTCGGGCAGCCTGTAATGACGCGCTGCCCAGCTTCCTGATACCGGAAGTATCGGGCTAGGCATCGGAGCAAATACTCGGCATCGATACCGATATTAGTATCGGTACATCCCTAATAAAAAATACAATAATACAAACACATATAAATGACATAAACTCACCTCATTGGATCTGAAGTTCTTTCCTTGCATTCCGTGCTTCCAGAAAGCCAGCACGCTGTCCTGCAGGCACACTGGAAAACATACAAGTCATTATCATTGGATATCATAGAAACTCGCCAGAGCGAAGCTGGATACTTTGCAGCACTGGGATACTCGGTTCAAATCCTGGCCAGAACACTATCTGCATGGAGTTTGCATGTTCTCCCTTTGATTGCGTAGCTTTCCTCTGGATAATCTGGCTTCCTCCCACACTCCAACGATAAGCTGGTACATTAACTGGCCCCTCTATGTGTATGTGTGTGTGTGTATATGAGATGGGGACTAGATTTTTAAGCTTCTGGATGGAGCTATATACAGTAAATACTTGTAACATATAAACAGAAGGAGGCTTTTTTTACACACTCACCGACAGACTCGACGTGAAAGTCAAAGCTGAGCTCTGAGGCCAGTTTGCGACTGGACTTGAGTTTCCCCTGGAGGTTTACTATTTTCACGTAACCTGAAATGAGATAATAAAAGTCCATCAAAGCTATAGCAGTGCTGAAACTCAAAATCAGGCAGAAACATCAGCAAGTTGATGAAGTGAAGGCTGACTTGACTTACGGTCCAGGCAGACCAGCACGGTGTCTCTCTCCAGCTGTGTCACATGTATGGCCTCGATCTGGTGACCCTCTGCCGAGACAGATTAACATTGAGCAAACGTTAAGAAAAGCTGATAGTTATATTCTACGCTCCCATTGGGTACTGAAGGCAAACACAGCACTATGTAGTAATTCGGTACATTACTACGCTATATAAATGATTATTATTAGACAATATTGTGTTTTATTTTTACAGGGTAGTTCCCACTATTAATTGTAATCTGTCTACCACACTGTATAAGAAACATTTTGGATCAATAGCCATGTAAGCCCATCACATTATAAGGTGAACCTGTTCTTTGCCCATGTTACCCCCGTACCCCTTTCCCGGAAGCACACTTTTCTCACTCTCATCTCACTCCAAACTGCATTGACATAGCTTACAAGGGGCTATGGACTCCTTGCCGGACCCCATATGACAGCACTGGGCCAATCAAGAGGCACCAATCACTGTCGCATGGGAGAGGTGGAGTAGGTCACATGATCAGGCCCAGGTATTACTCCACAGTGCCAGCAGCTCAACTTAACAGGGCAGGAGCATGGCGTACATCCTGCTGGAGAGGGGGTGATCCTTTTTTTTTTGCCCATGCTACCTCGTACCCCTTTCCCGGCACCACACGCTCCCCTTTTCTTTCTCTTATCTCACTCCAAACTGTCGCATGGGAGAGGTGGAGTAGGTCACGTGATCAGGCCCAGGTACTACCCCACAGTCCCAGCAGCTGAACTAAACAGGGCAGGAGCATGGCGTACATCCTGCTGGAGGGTGGGGGTGATCCTTTTCCTTTGCCCATGCTACCTCGTACCCCTTTACCAGCAGCACACGCTCCCCTTTTCTTTCTCTTATCTCACTCCAAACTGTCGCATTTTATAATTTGCTATACATTATGGAAAACCAATAAAAACTTTGAAAACAAACTGTCGCATGGGAGAGGTGGAGTAGGTCACGTGATCAGGCCCAGGTACTACCCCACAGTCCCAGCAGCTGAACTAAACAGGGCAGGAGCATGGAGTACATGCTGCTGGAGGGTGGGGGAGGTTAAGTGATCCTTTTCCTTTACCCATGCAGAGCAAAGGAAATGTATAATATATTAGAGGGCTCTCCTGTTTTGCACACAAACAAACCACCCTATCCTCATCTCCAGTACATTGGGGGAGGCAATTTCCAGTACACCGAAGACAGCTAAAAAAAAAAAAAAAAAACTGGATTGGGATTTAGAATGCTGGATTTCTAACGGGATCAACAGGTATTTTCTGTACTTGCAGAAAATGTTGTTAGCCTGAAAACAAGAAATCTAATGCAGCCACCACATCCAAGAACTGATAAGCTGCAATATGTGACATTTGGGTTTAGATAATCTCTAAAACCTAAAGTTTCTACGTTTTCAATAAAGATTCTTTTGAAGTGAGTAAAGCGATGGGCACCTGTTCCAATCTTTGTAAACCATGAAGAGGCGGAGCTCAGGTTGATGGTCTCGAACTGAACAATCTGATTGGGTTCTATTCCTCTGCTGACAGCCACACACACCATGGGGTATTCCTGCTCTGGGATCACCAGCATTTCAAACACCCTCATTGGGCTTGGAAGGGGGAAGTCAAAGTGCTGCAAGACAAGAGAGTGACTATAAAAGACTGCAGATGACAATTAGAACATTGATTTACTTCTCATTTAAAATAGAAGATACAAATATAATATTAATACACCTCCGTATACAATGACATGTTTTGCTAGTAAATATAATATAACAAAAATTAAAATAAATAAAAATTACCAACCCGTATCAACATGAACTTCTGCATGGGCTCATACCACTGTAATAGCACAATGCCAGAGGGCAGTGCCCCGCACAGATACTTGTGCCCCGTGTATGGGTTACGTACTGTAAGGAGAGAAAGATAAGAGTCAGTAAAAAGTGACTTCACAGGAGCCTGATCAAACAAATCACTCACAAAGTCTGATTATGGTTTCACCTTAAGTGAACACGTCTGTGAAGATGCATGTATATTTTTTTACCTGTTATGCATTCCAACATTTTGGATTGTTTGAATGCATAACAGGTGCCCTGCACGTAATACGATATGCTAAAGTTCATACTAGGGATGCACGGATACTGGTTTTTCGGTATCGAGTACCGATACTTTGCTTTCGGTACTCGCCGATACCGGGTACCGATACAGGTGCTTCCGCTGCCATGGTGCCAGCTTGCCAGGCAATCTGATTGCCAGAGAAGCTGGCTCCATGTTTTCTAACCTGCTTGATTAAACTTGGCCAGGTAACCGGCTTCCTGGCCAATTAGGAAGCTGGGAGGAGGGTCATTACTCGCCGCCCAGCTTCCTGATCCCATGGGAAGCTGGCTCGGTGTTCCCCTACGGCACTGCTGGTCAGAGGAACTCTTCCTCTGACCAGAAGTTCCGGTAACGGGGAAGGTATCTGAGCATTTGGGCAAGTACGAATATTCGCCCAAATACTTGGTATCGGCACTGAGAACGATATTAGTATCGGTGCATCCCTAGTTCATACAAAGAGCTGCACAGTATAGGTACACATACACAAAGAATCCTAATGCTGCCTAACCTGCTCCTTCAACTTTTTTTTTTTTTTTTACTATGGTTGAAATCAATCCTAAAACTGACCCCATTAACTAATAGAGAATCGAACAAATGCTCCCAAAACTATTTTTTTGGAACACAATTCTAACTGTGTATGCCCAGCTAAGCTCTGCAGAATGCCACGATTAGTCTGTATAACTCTATTAGGCTCCGCCAACCTCTCATTTGTCAAAGTCTTGTACAACAGTCGTGCATCCTCCTATGTGGATACTCACCAATACAGCACTTGTGGCAACCCTTTGTTTCTGGGATCTTTGTAGTGAGAGAAAACTTCCTGCAAGAGGAAACACAATGTATTAAAACCACTCAGACTGTAAAAATACTATTGAAATCCAGCTGGTGACTGCGATGATGCATACATCTTAAAAAGATGAACTTCCCTCCTCCCTTGGGAAGGTTTCCTGCCACATACCATCTATTTTATGGGGTCAAACCGCAAGGTTTATGTTTAGTAGTTTGGAAGCGTAGAACCTCCGTTACATTTTGATTGCATTGAACTATGATGTTTAACCACTTCTGTGCCAGCATGTTACCTTCATTACCTGGCCATTTTTCAGTGCTGTGAAAGTCTGACTTACTCCATCATGCAGCACTGTGCCAAAATTAATTTTATATCATTTTTTGGTGGCATTTAATCTCTTTTTTTTAAAATTATTATACAAAGACCAAAATAATTAAACAAAATACTTTCCTTACTTTCTGTTATAAAACATATCAAATAAAAATGTCAGGACAGTATGAAAACACCCAAAATGATCCCTTTTTGGAAAGTAGATACTCCAGCGGGATCTGATTTTTTTGCCGCAATTTTCTGGAAATGAAGAAACATGCCGGTATTGAGGGGAATAAAACATGGAGCTTGGTAATGGTGCAAAGGCCATACACTGCCGAAGGTGATGAAATGGTTAATGTACAGATGTGCAGGGTAAGGGAGATGAAGTAATTAATACACACAGAGCAGAAATAGAATGTATCTAACATGTATAGGAGGAGGGTGAAAGGGTTAAACATTCTATTTTATTTGTGTGTTTTTTTTTGTGCTGCTGCAGCTTGTTTTTTCTAGGAAGCAATAAATGGATCCATCCATTCATTACTCACTTTACTCTCCCCTGCCTCTGATGTAAGAGGAAGGGGAGGGCTTGGCAATGTAAACATGTCCATGTGATCGCTATGATCACAAGTCCCAGAGCCGGTCTGATCGGCTGTTTCTAATGACAGCAGGAGTAGCGGCTTCAGCAGCCGCAGGCGTGCACAAAGGTCTTCATGGAAGGACATACAAGTACCTCCTCCCGGAATAACGTGCCTGCGGATTGGCTGTTTTAATACAATGGCAAAACCGCAAGTGGCAAAAAGAGGATTCTCATCCGCCGACTGTTAAATTCAATGCACAGAACAGTAGCTGTGGAAAATCACTAGACCACTACATCCTAGATCCAAAAGGGACATCACATATATGGGTTTATAGTGATTTTAGTTTTTTGCCTTTGCTAATACTTTACCTTGCTGCAAATCCGATTTCATAGTTCCAAATGAAGGAATCTGCCCTACAGACAACGTCATCACATTCTGCAATCTCCTGATGCGAGACCACCCACTTCCAGGGCTCGTCCCTATGCTCCATGTCCCCGCTGACATTTCACTGGTCATGCCAGCTTTGTCTAACATTTATGTATTTCTTTTATCATACGCTCAGTTCACAATGCCCAACGTTATGACAGAAAAGGCTACACATTGAAAAGATAGGACGAAGATAACTTCTAGTGGCACCTACCTGGGTAATATCCTGTCTGGGAAGCGATGTGTTTGTATATGACCTGCTAGGCCGGGTTTCTTGGCTTGTTCAAACAGACCTATTAGATTGTGTGAATAAAGCTGCAGAGTTTTCCCTAGAGAGTAAATGAGAGATGAATACAATTACAGACTGTCTGCTCTGTAAAAGCTGGACGGTGGTAGACACGTTATTAGAAGATATTTACCTTCTGCATGTCCAACCATCGTGTGGGAGCATTCATAAAGAAAAGAATACAAGACATTAGATCAGATACATGCTTTCCTGGAAACGTTTTAGGCACAATACACAATGTATCGCTCAATGTTATCCTATACTTCTTGTTATAGAAACAACACAGCACTTGCAGCACTGGGGTCCTCAGTATGAATGTCAGCCAGTTTGCATGTTCCCACTGTGCTTGTGTGGCTTTCCTTCCACACTTCATGGACATGCTGGTAGGTTCATTGGCTCCTGTCTAAACTGGCCCTAGGATGTGAGATGGGGACCTTAAATTGTCATGGGCAAGGACTGATGTGAAGGAATAGTATGTAAAGTGATGTGTAAATTCATAGCACTCCATAAATACATGTAATAGATAAATCAGACCCAGGACTGTTGGGGCACCACCTCAGACCCAGGACTGTCGGGGCACCACCTCAGACCCAGGACTGTCCGTGCACCACCTCAGACCCAGGACTGTCCGTGCACCACCTCAGACCCAGGACTGTCCGTGCACCACCTCAGACCCAGGACCGTCAATAATCCGGCTTAGACTCAAGACTGTCATTGCACTACTACGCTGGACTGTCATCTTCATGTTGCTAGGTAAAGAGAACGAGCCCTTTAGTAGTGCAGGAGAGGAGCCAGAGCCTTCTGTTCTCATGTCATTTATTAGCTTCTCCTGTCTTCATTGTAGTGTGTAAATGTCAAATCCCACATTTCAATGAGCCCACTGGAGCTGTGCCATCTGACATCCAATGTATCCTTTGTTCTATGCACGCAACCACCCCTCCCTGCAGGAACAATATACCCTCCAGTCTGTCAGCCGGGTCCCCACCTCACTCTGATTCCCCT